CTCAAAAAATAAGGTGGGGAGCAATTGAGGAAGATATCCAACACCAGCTTCTAGTTTATACACATACATGCATGAGAACCCCTCCCTAACACATGCACACACACACACACACACACACACACACACACACACACACACACACCAAAAAAAGGCATCACAATGTAAAGAAGACGACGAGTCATGAAACCATTGGAGCATCTCTGTGAGTGCATAAATCAAGACAACCCTTCTCAGCTTTGTCCTGATAAATCACCATACTCTCCTATGCTTTGGTGATCTCAAAATATTCCTCTGCACAAGACTGAATAAGAACTGCAAAATGGCCAGAGATAAGGATAGGATTCATGAGCATCCCTGATCTGATCTGATAAGGATGTAATTAGATTGAAAATTGGATTTAAAATAATTGATCCAATGTAGAGAAAGATTTAAAATCTATTTGGATAATTGAAACTTTTCTTTGATCATGGAGATACTAAAGCCATGAGACTGAAAAGGATTTGCAATATGAAAAATGGAAATGCAAACAATGCTCCAAGATGTATGCTCTTCATAACCTAGTAATTTCAATAACATAACGTCTAATTTTGAAGACTGGGCAGAATAAAATCTAGTAGTTGGCCGATGGGTACTAAGTTATAATTTTATAAGGGAAATACACTCAGATGGGCTAGTGTGATGATGGAGAGTGATAATGGATTACATGTCTCAAAAAAGTCTTTGAGAAATAATATTGAATGTTTTCATCACTACAAAATAATAAACATTTGAGGAGATAGATAGATAGATAGATGATAGATACATAGATAGATAGATAGATAGATAGATAGATAGATAGATAGATAGATAGATAGATAGATGATAGATAGATAGATGATAGATATTGTTTTTGTTTTTTGAGACAGGCTTTCTCTGTGTAGTTTTGGTGGCTGTCCTGGATCTCCCTTTGTAGACCAGGCTGACCTTGAACTCACAGAGATCTGCCTGGCTCTGCCTCCCTGAAATAGATATATTTAATCACATTTGAATGTAGTAAAATACACACATGTACTAAAGCATGATATTGTGCACCATATATATGCAGTTTCATTTGCCAATTAAAATGTAAAAAGAACCATTAAAGAGTGGGAACACGGTGACTTGTCCACCGAGAGACCAAACACAACGGAAAGAATGAATCAGAGAGTATACCAAGGAAATGTTAGAAGATGCATACTGAACTGTTGATTCAAATGAATTCTTCCAAAAGTCTATACTGTGAAGTGGAGAATGTGTGGACACTGTGAAAAAGAACTGGTGTGTGAGAAGGATGTGGGCTAAGGGATATGATAGGGGGTCTGTTCTCAGCAGAGTCATAGGATGTGAGCTAGACTTCACTGTTAAGTGTGAAGATAACACATGGCCATGAAGCCATTTACAACAACGTGATCTGGGAGCAGGCTTACGGAAATAAGGAAGATGCCTCAGAAAACATTCTATTAGAAAGAAGGACCTTGGCTAGGCACGGTGGCACACACCTTTAATCCCAGCACTCGGGAGGCAGAGGCAGGCAGATCTCAGTGAGTGCAAGGCCAATCTTTTCTACAAAGGGTGTTCCAGGACAACTAGGGCTACACAGAGAAACCCTGTCTTGAAAAATAAAAACAAAATGCTTAAAAACAAGAAAGAGAGAGAGAGAGAGAGAGAGAGAGAGAGAGAGAGAGAGAGAGAGAGAAAGGAAGGAAGGAAGGAAGGAAGGAAGGAAG